GGCTACCGATGTTCTATTCACAGTCCGACGATGAAAGCAATACGATTAACCTTCCGTTCTTAGGGCGTTTCTGTGGAGACCTTGAATCCGTATCGTTCTCCAAGTCGGTTTCTATTTCTCATCTGACTCCATCCACCGTAGATCACTAACGTTTGTGAATTACTTACAGTTCGTATCATCATCCGAAATGCAGTCAAACTGTACAGTCCTATCGTCACACGAGGATTCGGCGTGTAATCTGACGAAAATCGTCGGTCGATGTACGGAATCGTCAGTTTTCACTTCAGTTTTTCAGTTCTAGGTAAGAAGAGCTGTAACCAAATTGAAGAATGAAATCAGATAAGGGTAGTACGGAGATAAATGCCGCTGATCTTGGCAGATCAAGTAAGTTCGGTGGATCCACGCATGTAAATGATCCGCTAGATATCAAGGGCAAGAGAGGTAAGATGCATTGATCAAACATTATACGTAAAGCCAATTTTAACAGGTGTTAGGAAACTCCCTCTGTTTGTCTCTTCCCAATATCTGCACCTCAATTGGTTCGTTTTCTTTCCCTCTTCCCAATCAGTGACATGTTCCAACTCCAGTACTCTGTTGCACCCAGAGTAGTTATCTCTGGACAGACAAACCTCGTGTTTCCCTACATTCGAATGCCGTTGGAATACATACTTATTGAACTGTTGAAGAATGCGTTTCGGTAAGTGTTTATTTGTAACCGCTGTGTATCTAGAAAACACGATCACAGCGTTCCCATCGCAGATATTTCGGGTCCCTTCTTGTCTCCTTGAAAGTCAAAGGAATAACAGATGATTTTTGACCGTCATCAATTCTCAACTCAGGAAAAATTCCGGAGTAGAAAGATGATTTAATAAATTCTGTGTCATGCTTCGCATTTAACTCACGGTTACTTGTGGGTAGTGGTGCGGGATAATTGTTATTGATTTGAGGTGATCATCCTTCAAACTTCACCCTTAGGCACAATCCTCAGTTCTTCCGGTCAAACATACAGTCGGAAGCACTATTTAAACTCGAGTTCCGCTCTTATTGAACATGCCTTCCATGCGATAAGTCCGAAGTTCAAAGCCCGAAGGGGATGGTGGGTATGCATTACTGATGAGAACTAATGAGAGCGAAATTCGAGTTTGGTGCTTCCAAGTGTATGATTGACTGGATGAACTGAGACTTGTGGGTGAAGATGACGTCCTCATGTATGCTGGAAAAATATGATAGGGGTGCTTCGGCTCATATGTTGCTCAGAGTGGGCGCCTGTATGCGATTAAGTGTCTCTCAGTAATGATTTTTTAACATTTATATCGGTCCTCACAAGTTGGGCGGAATCTAAGGTTCGTGGTGCCGCCGATTATCTTGACAGGTGTGTTGTGGGATCGGATGTTTTTCGCAGGTGAAAAATCTCACTTAACCGTTCTGGAATGTAACCAGACACCGTGATCATACATCAAAATCCCAACGATTATTTCGTTTTCTCCATCCTTGAAGAGCACGACGGCAGTACAATTTGAGAGTACACGTTCAAAGTACAACAATTGTTTCCATTGATTCATCTTTTGTCCTGCGCAGATCCAATTAGGAAATGGCATGTTCAACGAGGACAGACGTTCAGTCATTCAATAGTTACAGTGGTTAGTTGAAAGGGAGAGGGATGTGGATTGAGTGGGGTGACGTGTTTCACATCATTAGGTTACCATAACACTGCAATCAGGTTCTGACGCATTATCCGTGCGATCGATCTTCGGCCACAGCAGTTGAATGACATGGGCCAATCTCTTTTGTGCACATAGTCTGGGTGTGAACAAGCGAATACCGATCGCCTCCGCAGTGGCTAGGGTGTGGAGACGTAGCGACTTGGGTGGGTGAGGTGGTACTCGATGGTTGATTTTGAAGGCTGATTTAGGCTTCACTTGGTGACCTGAGTCTGCTAGGTGAGCGAGAATAGCGTTTCCTGTAACACCTTTTCCACCGTGTTGAAGCCAGCGTGGACAGTGCTCTTTAATCTGCTAGAACAGTTGCCTCGCCGTTCGGCCAATCTAGGTCATGTTACGAACGCAGCTGAAGGAATAGATAACCATGGATAAGGCCAGTGTAGGTAAGCTTTCTTTGTTGGATGTTCTCATTATTGGTGAGCCTGTGAATACGCATGACAAACTGGTTGCATTAAAAGTTCCTCTCACAACACACGCCAAACGTCTCTCAATCAAATCAGACAGGTCTTGTCCTTTGAATGGCAGTTTGATAAGCAGTTTCTTCTTCGGAGCTTCCTGAATGGGCTCTTTTTACAGTTTTCCCCCTAGATTTCTTTCAATGAACCTTTCAGGGAATCCGTTTCGCCTCAGAATGTCTTTAATCTGATCAAGCTCATCTACGAACGTGGATTCGGAGCATATCTTTCGTGCATGTGAGACAAGGCGCTTCACAAGGTTTCTCTTTCGTTTACCAACTGTTTTTTCTTGACTATCTAATCCCTATTTTGTGGATTATCAAATCATCAACGGTAATCAAATAGATGGTACGTTTACATTCTGCCTGATATTCCAGACTCAAACAGATAGCTTGAATCGATCACCCGATAATACTAAACAAAAGTGAAACAACCTCTCAGTTCAGGTTGCCTTGACTCAACAAGCGAAAACTGTCATTTTTAAATTGTGACTGGGTGACGGCGCCTCCTGCCCCGTTTAATCTACACGCATAACACTTGGATACAGTTTGCTAACTCAAGTCCGCGAATTACGATCCAGGACTTTAGATACCGCACACACGGGCTAATCTCGTAAACTCTGTCAAGCAGTAACCGTGACCAAGTGCAGAATTTGATATTACACGATCGTAATCGGCAGATGTGGGCTCGTGAAGTATGTTTAAATGGTGTGCGTGTTGAGTAAACAGTGCCCAAGATGCAACCACCCAATCACTGTGTGAAACATAATGCACTATGAAGTGATATTCTGTTTTGTTCAGCAATGACATAATTTGACTTAAGACTTGCAACCTCCGTTGTGTGTGACTCTATTCAAATAAAATAAATTAGTCAATTTAACAACAGCGGGTTCAATTTTCATGTGTTGTATATGATTCTGTTTCCGAAATCTTCATCATAATCCCCTCATTTTTAACTGGGGCTCGCCCGGGTAAGCTACATAACACACCTGTCTAGTAATCCTCTGTCGTATTCGTACTGCAATCTATATTCGGTTGGATGAATACGTAGCAGAATATAACAAAAATCGATACCGGTGATCGTTTTCTTACCACTTCTTAGCAAAGCAAGCCTTCATTTAGACTGAAGTTTATTCCCCGTCAGCCGCTTCTCTTATCATAACAAGTTAACATATTTTTGCGTGAAAAAACGCATCGATCTCAGCGTGCAACCAAGTATAGCCTTTGTGCGCTCCGCGATAGCTCGTGATCAATGGTGAACAACACAAGAAGCCATCATCATTGTATCAAACCACTTGTATGGATCTTGCCGTCACCACCCTCAGTTCTCTTTTGACACACCGATTGATTGGTGCCACAGATCTCGAGAGCAAACTCACTGCATAAAGGCTGATAGGAATAAATCACACAGCACCAAAAAGTTAGAAAAATCCAAACCCTAAGGTTAGATACGTGTCATCATCAACTCATTTACTTCTAAGCGGGGCAACAAACTTTCTATCTTGGATATTACTTTGAGCTTCTCACAAGAAAGACAATGGATCAGGGATTGATCCCCACCGTTTGTAGCTCCGTACACTTTCTTCTGGACGATGATGATCAGGTCGAAGTGAGCACTATTGAACCGGATCCCTGTCATGGTTGAAACATCAAGAATTTCGTTTATTTATCTGTCCTTGGAACATTCATCATTGAATGAACTCGCGTTTTGCAATCCGCTTATTCCGAACCCTATGGTGTGAAGCATCTAGTCTGTGCAAAGCCCTCTCAGAATTTAGGTGTCACTATTGGCTTTAACAATCATTACAATTCGGGTCATGTCTGGTAACTTTGACGAAAACCGTCAGTAACACAAATGTTTGTTTTTATTTTATCTATTTCTCCTCCATAAATATATCGTGATGATTTTACTCTCTCTCCTGCCAGTGCCACAGTTGAATCCCGCGGTTCACGGGGTGCGAGCAATCTACCCCCAATCCACATCACCTTGGCCTCGGATGAGATCGACTTTTGGATTCGCATTTCCGATCACGCAGGTGGTATCCCCCAGGAACTGGAAAACGCAATTTGGGAGTATCATATGTCCACTCCGGCAGCGGCGAACGTAGAAGCCGGTTGGGAAAGTGGACCTTTAGCCTCCCGCACACAGCCATTGTCCGTGGTTAAAGAGCCCGATGTGTTCCCACCACCAACTCCATCAGGTGGTTCCCTGGATCCACATATTGTGGTCAGTCGAGAAGCTGTAGAGGAGGCCTTATCTTTACCCAAGCCACCACACACATTGTCTCCGGCACTACCTCTTGGTGGTCCTCAAGGTTTCTTCTCCGGTCTGACGCAACATCATGTAGCTCTCAGCATACATGGGTAAGTACTGGTTAGTCCGATTTCCACGGTAAAATCCTAGATCCTTTGGCATTAACCTTTTGAATATATTGTAGATTTACCGCTCAGACTGTTTGAGCTGCTTGTGAGTTACGCACGCTCATACGTATATAATGTCCGAAAATATGTGAGCACCCAGTGATTGTCGAAAGTCACCTTATTGACAGTTTCAGGTTAACTCTTAAACCGTTGAAACATTCTTCTATCCAATGGAATATCATACAGCGCCCGTCATGCGATACGTGTGAATCAATTATTTTTGGGCTAATTCAAAACTTAATAATAGGAATAAGAATGATTTCGCATCACCAAAAACAATGTGACTCGTCTTTGGTTTGTGGTAGAATTTTTTCATAAAACAATGGCTTTCATCTATGGTCTTCATCTTCCTTTTGATGCGCAAGTGAACCACGTCACCAACGCTCTTCTGATCTCTTGGCTCATTCAAAAACGTTGTTGCTCGATTATACCGTTTTATAAAGAGTCGATTTGACGAAACGAATTTTTTCCGATTGGTTTTCATGTAAATGTGCGCACTTAAGGCGATCTCTAGAGAGACAAAATGGTCTTCTTTGCAAATCAGTGACCATCTGTACGCTTTCCACACCCTCCGGTTGACCCCCATCTGATTCCTGCGAGAAAATGGGAAATCGGTCTCGCGAATTCAGGCATTGCAGTAGCCCAACGGGGTTTTAATGAGTATACTTGTTAGTTTTCCGAAATAACATTCTTAGTATCATTCAACCTTTTATCAAGGGAACCTTTGCACATCCAAGTGTTTCCATCAAGGCAGCAGGGATTTTTGTGGCTTGTAATTAACAGCTAACGGTGGAGTGGAGTTCAAACTGGTCACCTGGAAGTGCAAAATATGTTGTTATTCGTTGAATCAGGAAGCTGAGCTCCTACACTTCATTCTCCAGGAATGAACCCCACTGAGATCTAGAGATCTCGTTTACCCTCACCTGTTTCAACTCGTCCGTCTCTCGGGTTGTGGTCGTTGTTTTATATTTTACCTTCCAGGAATCAACAAGTGAGATTTACATGTCAGGTGAGAACCAAAAACAGCAGAAGTATCCTTTCGAGGCGCGATATGTTCTTTTTTCCGACGATACGATCCCTTCATAATTTTTCGCGCATTTCAATCGGGGCTGTACCGATTCAACCTCTTCCAGAATTTTCTTAGTGATCTGAGAATTTAGCTAACTGGTCCACAAGATTGAAACCTGAACACGAAAAAACTCATACGTTCAAATGCAGCTCTCTGACAGAAAAATCAAGGGTCTCTCTTCAACCTGCCAAGTGCTTCAAACTCATATTCGCCTGAGAGCACACGATGTGGAAAGAAGAACTAGCGTCAGTAGATTTGCTGAACAACCACTTCAACATGAGTAAAAATAACTTTGCCCAATTTGAACCATTGTTCAGCAGTAGTCTGCCCAGTGTTCACTGTTCCCCAAGTTATCAATTACAGTAGTTTATTTTTGTGAATGATGAGCGTGGTATCTTTTTCTACATCTCCCCTGCCTCTCCAACCGATAATGGTGTTTCGGTAGAGTCACACCAAGAAAACAACTGCCTGTAGTTTTCGGCCAATTCTTCTTCGGATGCTCAGCTTTTCGGTCATGGCGCTTTTTACAAATTGACTGCATTCTTTTCTGTCACCCCCCCCCCTTGTTTTTTCTGTATAGATTTGGCTTCGGACTACCCACTTCTCGTG